GAGAGAGAGAGAGAGAGAGAGAGAGAGAGAGAGAGAGAGAGAGAGAGAGAGAGAGAGAGAGAACATTTGTTGGAAGGTGTCTCAAGGGAGACCCTCAAGCTGTCAGAAGGGTGTTGAAAGCCCCTATTCCCACATGTATCCTGATAGCCTTTATTTCTGCAGCACAAAAAAGTTTGACAAGCCCCTGCAAGACACCCTGAACTACTAAGAACAAAAACCGCTGGAACCTGCAGGCTAATATTTTTTATATTATTGTTATAATTTTGCTAATATAGACCATATATAGTATTCTTTAATTAATGCGACGACTCACATCTCATCCTGAAAACAAAAGGTATGCCTAGTGAGATCTTCCGCCACATATTTTTGTATTTTGTAAGTGAGAAAATACACTTATTGAACCCGATTATGTGGCACCAACCTGAGGCAGCTCCATTCCTGTGCAATGAATTTAATAATCAGTTGATTAATAGGTATTTCTTTCCCTGGCCCTTAACATAATATATTCCAGATATTCATCTTCGCAGTTTACCTGTAATTTAAGACGCCCATTCACATTTCTTGCTGAAATACTCTTATCCTTGGCTTCAGTGTTACAACACAAAGCTGACTTCACTTCTTTGATTTCAATGCTCTCTATTATCATGTGGTAAAAAACAAACAAACATTGAACACAACTTTTAAACAACTTTTGGTGACTATAACCTTAAAGGTGTAAAATAACGAGATTGGGAGCACTTGAGCCCCTCAACAGCTCTCAACATGGAGACGCCTGTGCCGGTTGCTTGGAGCCAATAATGGTAACAGTGCAAACAACTTCAAATGTGCTGACAGGGCTAACAGTGTTTACCTGTCGGGGAACCAGAGGATCAGTGCTACGCTTCCGCAATGATGCTGTCGGTCGAGACGGCGTTATTAGTTGTCACCGGCAAAGTGTAGCATTGCCCAAAAAAGAACCCATTACATTTGGAGGGGATCCAAATCATGGATTGAATCAACACATTATTTTTCACTTATGGAAACGGCCTTGGCAGAGCACACTCTCTAAGTGGCCTTCTAGTTTCTACAAGTGGCTGTTAATGTTAAGTGGTTAGCTGCAGTGGAGCTTGTAGCTGTTGCTGCCAATCACTTTTTCCTTTTGTTAGTATTAATGACAGATTACTGCCAGCGTACCAGATGGGTGGATGACTAACTGTTATTTGGAATATGATGCTTCTCATCGCATCAATACTCTGCACACAATAGCCAATACCTGATTTGTGATTTAAGTCTGACAGAAACCAAATGTTGTTTTCAATCCACTCTGACCTATCGCACGAATATCCTTTGCTTTTGATAGTATCAACATAGCTGGAACAGAATCTTAAATGAGCTATGCAACACTCCCCTCTTGTGTTATGGGGATTGTAGTGCAGGGAAAACTATATCACAATCGACTGAACAAACTTTCACTTAACTGAATTTACAGATCCAGTGATGAGGGAGATACAAGACAGGAGGTTGCAATGTTTTGGCTAAAACTAAAAGTATCTAACACGGCAACAAATCCTACCTAAAGGTTATAATGAGTTTTTACCAGCCGCGACACCGACGCTGGTATTGTTTTCACTTTGTGAATCTGTGTCATCATGACAAAATATGGTCCTGGAGACACCTGAGGCGGGAACTACCACAGAGACACGTTTGAGTACCTTGACAGGTGTTTATATGCCTGTGGACAGATATGCTAACCACGAAAGCGGCATAAACGTGGAGGACGCAGTCACAACACTTTATAGACATGTAGTTGAGATCAAAAATAAAGGTGGACTTCAATGATTTTGTGTGGTCTGAGCAAGGGGGGCGAAGAGACCACTGCCCCCCTCCCACACACACACACACACACGCAACACCCCTGGCTCGATTGCTGTTTTGGCTGATGTGATCCCATTGCAAGATGGCCTCTAGTTGACTTTGCTCAGCGTAATGATGTTTATATCTATCTACTCGGACAATGAGGATGCGCCTGCCCAATCCTACAACTCCTTCAAATTGAGCATATGTTGCACCAATGCTTCTTTCTACACTAAGAAAACATTGCCATAAAAGCTTCAACTCTGAAAGAGCTAACTAGAGATGGGATTATATCAGCCCGATGGCCCCTTCCCCACTTCCTACCATCGTACTACTGGCCCCCTTGCTCGGACCAAACCCCTCTCCGAACTTTGGCTTCATTTTTTTATCTCAAGTACACATCTGTAAAGTTTTGTGACCACATCTTGCATGGTTGCGACGCTAAAACGGTGACAAAAACACAAACATCTGGCAAAGTAGTTCCTGTTACAGTAGGCGTCTCATGATGACACACACACACAGACTTACAATGTAGAAAGAGAAAACAATACCAGCGGCAGAGGAATACTGGGGCATTCTGTTCGCCTCACCATGTTGGAGAAAGAGAGAAGACTTTGCCTCGTTTGTGCTGATGCCTGCACTGAAGTTCCCCGGAGGGTGTACAGCTATCCTTGAGTGCACACAGCAGTTTGTTTGCGCTCTGTGGAGACACACTGGACAACAAGCACCTTTGAAAACACATGTGGGCTCAGTGGATGTGTGAAAGCTCCCCACAAGCCTTCGTGTATATGGATGGCCATGGACCCTCCAGCTGTTATGTGCTACAACATGTGCACCATCCAAAAGAGTGTGTTAACATCAGGAGCTTTATGCTGCGCCAAAATAGAAACCAAACTCTTTACATTCGAACTTCAGAATGCCATTATTAATGAATGAGCTGAACCACAGCATTGACTTTTTTTATCACCCTTTAAAGTTGTCCAACTTCTTAGCAACCAGTTGGCTTTTTACACATCCAGCAGAAAGGGAGTGCCATTAGCTATTGTTAAGGAGTTGTGTTTCAAGCCTCCCGATTAATCTATTAGTCTATTGAGCTCTGTCTGTCTGGTCTCCAACAAAGACTAGCCTACTAGTACATCTGGCTCTTTAGCTGACAAATGCTAACCTGACCCACCAGATGGTTGTTACACAGAACCATCCGAGAAGCCATCAAGGGAACTGTTTTGAAAATGTTAAAAAAAGAAATACATGTGGCAGGAGATTGTATGTACCATCTGTCGATCAAACTCTTACCAAAGCAAGTCTTGAGAATTGAAAAAACATCCTTTGCATGGAGAAAAGCTGTCAGTGCCATTCTTTGATCTTCTTTCAATAAAGAAATACTCTCCAGTTGTGATACAGCTGATGCCATTGCAGCACGCTTGTTGTTTTCTGAACTAACAGTTGTCCTTTTCTGTGTCGCACACACCTGGTTGGTCCAACCAGCATTAATTGTAGCCTGACAAGATGGATTTTCATGTGATTTGTGATTGCGCAACTCTCACGCGATCATGACAACTGCTGTGCAAGGTAAGAGAAATGCTTACTCTGTGCAATTTTTTGGGCAGGTAGCATACGGTGGGTTGAACAGTTGCCTGCTGTGGCTGAAAACAATGTTGATGAGGCTAAACAGCTCCACATAGCTAAGGAGAGCTCCAGAGCTGATAACTCTCTGTGGGTTCATAAAGCGACACCTTTCATATTACACCTAGTCATTTGATCCATTGTTAATATAAAAAATAGATGAGCACAGTTTTAAAAATGAAAGCGCCAATTTCTTTTGTGACCTTGTCACATCCACTTTACATAAGTACGGAGTTTTGTTTAATGCTATTAACTCTGTTAATGCCCTCTCCTCTTAAATATCCCTCTACTGGTGTTGACCACTTTCAGCACGTTTCATTTAAAGTTGACCTCCTGATGGTAATACTAAATGTGGCCAGCTGTCTAATTGTAATCCTAATGTATTTTAGCACTGCCTGGGACACTGCAGACCGTACACTTTTATTAGACCACATACATGAGTGGGTAGATCTCGCCAAGTCTACACTCCAGTGGTTAAAATCCTATCAACCTTGTCTGTTAAAAGACAAGCAGCAATATTATGTCCTCTGCAAATGTTAATTGTTCTGTGCCAGCAGGGTTACTTTTAATGTCACATTCTTTTTTTGGTCAGCATTTGCTCTCATTTGGTTATATCAAATTAAATTGTGCTATGGACATCAAACATTTTATCATTTTTTTTAAGAATTAGACTTCAGATGGTTACGTCTTGTGTGTGCAGTAAGAATAACTTCTTAAAGTGATTTCAGACAAGAAAGGACAATAGTGTTAATTCTACATGCGTAGTACGCTAGAACAAATTTACCAGAAAATTCTGTGAAACGCTGGAACACATTGTTCATAGTTAGAAGTTAATCCAGGGTCTTTAAAATCCTTGACAACCTGGTTAAGTTGTCAAGCCTCATTTTTTTTAATCCCAGCAATTGCTCTGATATGTAAGCTTTTATATTAAATCATGCATACTTAATACGGCTAATCAATATAAGTAGAGGGAGACTTTTTTTGTTTGAATTAAGAAACTGTTTGAGCAACTACATACAAAAATTGGCATTGTTCGATCAATCTTTATAGAGCTACATGTTGACTGTGAAGAATATTTTCTGGTAGGTATAAACAGACTTTTGACTGACTTGAAATTGGCACCAAAATATCTTGGCATGAAAAAAATAGAATATCTCTTAACAGCAATACCATTCCCCCTGACAGTCTTCACACAACTTCTATATTCACGTTTCTGCTCTCTGCGCAGCATCGGGAGGAAGTGGCAAGTCGTCTTTGACGGTTATGTTTAACAAGTGCGCTAAAGAGCTCAAGCGTTCGGTGAAGTAATCAAGTCTGAAATTGATTTTAACTGGTAGCAAATTTTAAATTAAATTGGAATAAACAAATTGCCCAATTTAATGGATTGAACTGCAGGCCAGGGAATGATTACGTGTGTGTATGCGTGTGTGTGTGTGTGTGTCTGTGTGAAAAGACTGATAGTGAGAGTGTGTATCTGATCGTTACCTTGCAATGGATTTGCACTGCCTACCATGTTGGGGTGAGGTACACCACATGTCTGCAGGATACGAGTCTGAGAGATGCTGGCAGAGAGCATCTCCTGAGCTGGAGAGAGAGAGAGAGAGAGAGAGAGAGAGAGAGAGAGAGAGAGAGAGAGAGAGAGAGACCTTTATTATTGTCTGCACAATAATCATCCTTCTCATCCGAATCACAATCATAATCATCATCGCATGAGGCCACCTTCACCATTAGGCCATTACTTCATTTCCATTGCAGCATCATTCGTTTAACACATTAATTATAGGCTTGATTGACCAGATTCAATTTCTTGATGATTAATTGTTTGTCGATTGACTTACATATTAATTACAGCCTTGCAATAGAAGTCACAAATACCATCATACCTGCCATCATGCCATAGGTAGCCTGCTGGTTGCTGTAGTGACAGGGGGCGACTGGGTAATGTAGGCCCGGGGGGCCGTTGCCAAGAGCGTTCCCGAGGGTGGAGGTGGACAGGTGCATGTGGGAGCGCTTGGAGTGCTGACCCAGGGACAGCCCAGATGATACTGATGGAGACAAATGTGGTTACAATCTGACCGGAGTACAAAAGATCAGCTAATTAAGAACTGGAGAGCGTTGGCTAGGATCTGATCTGAGGACAGGTCAGCTTTGAATACAGTTCAGACTATAGAGTTTGACTGATATGAGGTTTTGAAAACTACTATATTTTATTTTCAAATTGGAACAGGTGCTATGTGTTGTCTTTAAATTTAAAGCGGGTTGTTAAAATGCGGAGTGCCCACGCAGTTGCTCACGCTCACTAAACTTTCCACTGAAAACCCATTAAATACTTTTTTAATAAATTTATCAAAAATATCATGTAAATAATTTTGACTAACTTAGTTTGCTCATGAAGTAAGTTTCACTGCTAATATTTGACTCTTTGCAAATGTCATCACGACAGTCTGGTGCTAGTGCTGACAGCGCAGAGAGAGATGCGAGTACAGTTTTAGTCGAGCACATTTATTCTTTAAACTAGAAACCGGAGAGTCAGCTACCATATCATTTGATGCTGGTACAGCTTTAAGCTGCTCAGTAAATACATTAAAATATGTAACCGAGATCACCTGACACATCCTTTGAACAAAAGTGATTTGGAATGAACGCATAAAGAGTAATGGCAAGCCAGAACATATGCTTCTAAAACCAGGGAAATTCACTTTTAGATGGCAACCAGTATCATTTATTGTGAATCCTCTTTAAAACCGTTCCTTTTGTTGATGCTCTCGTGTGATTAGTGTATTTTAATATAGCTGAGCACTGCTCTGGTCATGTCCTTTGCTAATTACATAAGTATTCATGTATTCATCTTTTTATCCAGCTTGATGTTCAATTCAGGCACCAATGCGTTGAGATGCACTCCAATGTAGAGACTGTGCACTGTGTGCCATGTATGATGACTTGACCAAAGCTTATGAGGCTGTCTTAAACATCAATATAAATACAGTGCCACTGAGGAAAATCCTGCCATAATTGAAAATTTGACTTCTTTCCTCATTGCATACTGTACTTATTTTTTAATTTAAATCAGATGACAGCTTTTCACCTTTAGTTGATACTCATTGAAAGACAGAAATCAAATATAGGCCAGCACAATTCCACAAGTACAGTACTGTCTGAGCAGAAAATCTATTTGCAAGATACGTTTGAATGGCTGCTACAGTATATACATTTTATGGCTAATGTTCTGCATGATGTGATCCGGTCTATTCTGAGCTACAACAATCAGCATAGACTAAAACCTGCAGGAAGTTTTATCCACAATGCTCCATAGGAGAAAAAAAGACCTTGAGGAGTTTGCTATACTGATAACATATCCTCAAAGCAATTATTCACTGAGTAGAGACAGCTGGGCCAAACCAGATGATTAGACACATTTACATAATTTCAGTTGGCTTTGAATAAATGCATTTTTTCAATCAAATTCATCTGCATTCTTGCTCAGCTTGGGTAAATTAGAGGCCTCTAGGAGCAACTTGTAGCCCCACATGACACATCACTCACCTGCAGCACCCATGCGTCTTTCTGTGTAATCGCTCACTGTCGACACGAGCAAATCTCACTTCATCACAGCACGGGATGGCACAGCGCCAAACTCCATTTTTTATAGCCTCACAAGGCTGAAGCGGAAGGCTGAAGTAGTACAGGGCTGCCTTTTTGCAGCTGGGATTTAATATCACAACAACGATACATGAACCATAGTCCATATCATTCAAGCACTATAAACTTCCACTCTCCCCTTATACTTCGCGACCGATGAAGCCTAATTTTTGCAGAACAATACGACATTTAAGAGAAAATACTCAACATTACAGGACAGTTTACCTGCAGAAACCATGCTGTGAGCGTGGGAGCTGGCTGCCAGGCAGTCACCGGTAGAGGTGTGGTGCATGAGGATTGGCAAGGGTGAATCTCCCGCAAGTGGGGTGAAAGAGTCGGCGCCGAATACCTGGCAGGCCATTCTTCTCTGGCCTCACTCAAATGGTGCGCTGACGTTTGAACTCTTAAGTGGTTTCTTTGCTTTGCTTTGCCTTCTCTTGCTTTAATTAGTCTTGTCTGCCATTGCTGCTTTCCTTGTCCTGTGTCTTTTATTGTCCTCTTGGAATCCCTTCCTTTCCTCTTCCTCTTCCTCCTGTGCGTCTTATCGGTGGCTTTTGTCTTCCTCTTGTCTTCTTTGGCCTTCTATTGCTCTGCCTTCTCGCTGCGTCTTGTCTTCTTTTCGTGTCCCGTTCTCCCTAATTCAGCCAAGCACAGCTCTCACTTCAGTCACTTGGGAATATGCAGTGAGAAAACTGCAAACGGGTACCTTTTTTTCCCTCAAAGGGAAATAGATGTCAGCCAGAACTCTGCACGGTTTGCGGCACATCTGTAGCCTCAGTCAAGACTCTCGAAAATGATTAGTTATGAGCTTCAGGTTGAAGTTACTATCACAGAAATATCTGCTCAAAACTGTTACTCAACGATTGTGTTATCTCTCATTAACGATGCATGTCCCTGTCTCTTTTTCTCTACTACAGATGCAGGTAGGCCGGTGTCTCTCATACCCTCAGCATTTCGCCGCCCTTGTCTACTGCAGGTATTTATATGCCACCCACCAACAACTAACCACCCCTCTCTCTACCTGTGAGGCCCCCTATTTCCTATCGAGCTGCTCACCCCCACCTACCAATCCCATGTCAGTGTTGTTATTACTTGTGTTTGTCCTTACCTGCATTCTCCTCATCTCGTTACCAAATCCAGGATTAGGGTGCAGAGCGGCTGAGAAACCCGATCCCCTCGTCTCCTCTCCCCTTCTCACTATCTGTCTCTCCCTCTCCCTGATTGCAGGGTTGTGTTGTTGTAGTTGCAATGGGAAAGTAAAGTGAACACTTAAAGTGCTCATTAAAATAACAAAGACTGGTTTCATGTGATAATGAAGTTGATGATATGGTGTGGCATGAAGCGTTGCCACAAATTGTCTCAAACCAATTGCAACCAATGCGGTGCACCACTTGGAAAAACACACTTATTTCACCACAGACATTTAATTGCCTTGCAAGAGCTTTTAGGTGTGATCGTGGAGCCTTGTCTCGGTGTGAGCGGAAATAAATTGTTTCCGTGTGGTGTCCATATTGTGGTGAATGCAGAGCTCTCGGGGCAAAGACAACAGGTCTCATCGGGGAGGATAAAGGTTAATCTGAAGAGCGTGGCCACCATGTGCACTCTGTTGTGTCTGTTTGTGTTTGTCCTGGGCTCTGCTTCACTATTGTTAATGTAGGTGGGCAGCAGGTGGAAAATAGCTTGTGGGTGGCAGGCACGATTCATCTTGTTAAAGCATGCAGTGTACATTTTGTCTGGATGCACTTAGTCCTTTGGAGAATGTCTGTCCTCAAAACATTTTATTTGTATTCATTCAAGTGTAGGGTTAAGAAATGCTCATGTTATATATATATATATATATATACATATATATTATATATGTATATATATATGTGTTAAAAAGCCCAAGTTGAAAAGGTCTGTCAGTTTGTCACATATCCATATTGAAGACATCTTCTTTCTAACTGTGTCTGGCATGTGCTGTCGTGGATATTTACCTAAAGTGTCACATTTGTAGGCATCAAAATCAAACGATGAATCCAAATGCTGATGCCATGGAGTCACTTCCTCCATCTCCCCTTCAATCTGCAACCTTAATACACGTGAGTCTTTAATCTGTTGTGTGATTAAACAAAACACAACGAGAATGAGCACTGATAAATAAAAGCCTTTGTGACAAATTGCAAAGCAAATCGAAACGGACTTTGACAAATCTCATTTCACCAGAGCAGGTTTGAAATAAACACACACCGAATCCTCAATATTGAGAAGACAACTGAATGTAATGGTGTGTGACAATAAAAGAAATCGCCAGCGCCATATCCTCCTTAAAATATTTCTCTCTCTTCTTTCATTTCAGCCAACACCTCCCACTCAGGGTAAAGACCATCTTCCCAGCTGGCGAATGCAGGTTTATTTTTGCACATAGAGACTGAACCACCTCTGTTTTATATCAATATGTGCACTGGTGCGAATCTCCTCCTAAAATCTAGCGGCAGATATTTAAAACGATTCTTCAGTCATTTCGATTCTAAATGAAAAGATCAGATTAATAATTCTTCATAATTCATAATAATCACAGATTAGCCTTACATGTAATCAGTTGATGGTGTAACAGCCTGCTGAGATGAAACAAGGTTGACACAACAGTACATGTAACCACAATGTATAAATACTAAACAGTTGACTAAGATTGAGAAAATCTACCTTTGAAATATCACATTTGGTTTAAATATTTGACTTATTACACATGATCAGGTCAGTGCTGTTTTCCTCTGATATGTTGAATATATATATATTTATATTGTGATACAAAGGTTGGGTAAAGGGTATCTTACTCTGAATTGCCTCCACTGTAATACTTTATTTTGCTGCATGAAGCACATAACATATTTTATTGTTATCATAACAAATATCTTTATTTTTACCAGATTGCTATTGTAATGACGTTCTAAACAGTTTCAGGGATGAGTACGCTTAAACACACAGAAAATGGCCAAATGTCACGATATGTTGAATTTTTTAATTTTTAAATACCAGCAAATGAAAGTTTCAAAGAGCTTGGATCAGACGTGTGTGGACTGAATATGCTTTTAGATGAGTAAAAAGTAGATAATCAAAGGATGAGAGAGTGGAAAAGGCAAAGCTTTCCCATGGATAGATAAGTAGACGCACACACACACATACATATGCACATAAAGAGCCTAAACTTAATTAGTGAAGAGACCATGAGTCAAAGGGTTCTCTTAAAGCACCTGTCCTAGATCCCCTTCCTCATCCTCCCTCCCCTTCACACACACACACACACACACACACACACACACACACACACACACACTTAAGTATAATAAAAACACTTGTAACAAGCACATATACACTTGTTGAAACAATCACATACAGGTATATTCCTATATTCTCTTCCCCACCTATATATATATATATATATATATATATATATATACACACACACACACACACACACACAGACACACTCCAAAGACCACTGATCCATCCACCAACGCAGTGGGAACAGAGTGCGGTGATACATTCTCACAGGTATCACATGCGTACATACAGTGTACCAGGTGTTTGTGTGCATGTGTGAAAAAGGAGATGGCCCATCTCAGGGGGTTTATCCCGATGTGTAAAGTAACTTGCTAATATCACCCAGTCAACAATGTTGAGTGAAAGGAACAACATGTTTACAGTCAGCTTATGCACATTGTCAAACACATTTTAAGCACATTTAAGCGAAATCACGCAAAAAAACAGACGTAAATTAGGAGCATTCCCATCAACTAGTTTGAAGCAAATAAACTCGGCTGCAGCGTAGTTTCATCAAAAGTTGGCACAGTAGGCTACACATGGCTGTAATCCGCCAGAGTACAAGAAGTAGAGTTTGCGAACCAGAAACAAAACACATCGGCGTGGCCATAACCCATCTACAAGAGAAAAGAGAGGTCTTCAGGAATTAGTTTCAGCTAGTAGTGGTCATGTTTCATCGTGTCTGGTGACAAAGACAATCATTCGCACTTTATGGGAATATCCGGGAAGACATCGAAACAGCAGAAACAGCTGATCAGTCATGTGAGTAAAATGTTCGCTATATCAGCAATGGCGTTTCTATAATCCGTTAAACACGTCAACTCTTTTTTGAAAAAAGGGAAAAGCAGCTTTTACTATACAGCTTTTCTAATGCAATACTTAAAGATGTGCAGACAAATATGTCAATGAACATTGTACATGGTTACCATGTATGTGAAAGTAAAAAAATGATCCAACCCTGTGCATAGAGTACATCTCTAATAATGCAGGTATCGTTCATATCATTTCTGTGAAGATTGCATTTGCTGTGGACAAAGCTGAAAAAACTATTAGTTGCGTAAAACTAATATAATTGGTTATTTGATAATTAATTTAGTCTCCAAACTGTTACCACATCATTTTTTATAAATCTCACAACCTTACAATGCTCATTAATGATTATAACGACTAAGTAAATAGTATGGACACTGCATTATTGAGTGGATTGCGCCAGAACTATTCGCTTTTAGCAGATAATGCAGTGTGAAGCAAAAAGTGTGTTCCTGCTGTCAAAGATCTCCCCCAGCCAGCAAAACCAAACTTACTGCAGCTTTTTTTTTTTTTTTTTTTCTTTTCAGAGTTTTACTTGGGAAAGAATTGCATGGCTGAGTGTGGGTGTGTGCATTTTCTTTTAGTAATACACACTGAACTTTGTTGAATGACCCTGCGGCACATCAGCAAATTCTTCATATAACCAACCTTGAATAAAGCAATCAGCTCCAGAGTTTGTTGATTCTAAATAAACATTCAAACTGAATTTTGTCAGAATATTCCTGTTTTTACCCGACCAAACCGCGAGAGAGGGGAAGTGGGTGTGAAACCGAGAGCTGAAAATGGCTTTTGTCTTGTTTTTGAATTTCTGCACCCATTCATTATGCAGGGATGAACTCTGAGTGAGGTTTGTTGGATGCTTGAATACATCATGGCAGAGGTCAGCACTCCTAATGAATATCAAGCCTCATGCACCACTCTGACCACCATCTGCCCAGAGCTGCGCCTGACTCACCAGCCACAACACAAACACCGCCCGGAACGCATCCGAGAAGGCTAATTTCATCAACATATTCAACAAACCCTGTTCGAACAGCAAAGGTTAACCGTCCAGAGAAGGAAACAAGAACAGGTTCTGAATCTGCTCTGCTCTTCTCTCGCAGATTACTATCTCTCTTCATTACCTAAATGTCACGTCAAATATTTGTTGGTTTAAACGACACTATCCACACATTCATTTACAGCTCTCGCTTTAGTATAAATGAAACACTTCACCTTGCATGTGGTATTCTTTTGAGATCCCGTTTCTGAGGAAATGTTTTTGATTTATTTTTCAGTTTTTTTGTTGTATAAGAACAGATGTACTGATACAAAAATCAAGTGGTATTCATCTGTTGTGTAGAAAAGATGATGCGGAGCAAATTCATTTTGTTATGCTCTCTATAGCTCCTTTCAACAAGTTTCAATAAATAAAATGTGATGGGCTTTCACTCACACAAAGTCATGATTAACTTACAATAGCTCTATTTGAACAAGGCTAATGGCAGGCATTTTAAATTGGCAACTAATCTTTGATTCACAATAAGTACGCCGAGTCGTACTCCTCGCCACTCATCTCACACTGCGGAAAAGTTTCCATATAAGGTAATGCAAGTAAATAAACCATCCAATTTACCATCAAAGGTTTTCAAATATCCTTGGCAAACACCCCCATACAAGTGCAACTACAAAAACATCCATCTCCAATAATTATGATATTATCGTAAAGAGTGAGTAATGACTGCAGTAAAAGAAAATAAATAAATAAAAGAATTGCATAAACCTACTGCGAAATTCCAGCTGGGATCTCAGTTTCCTCCATTTCTCTTGAATCCAACCGCCACATTTCAGCCACTGAGCCTCAGCCTTGAGCACACACTGTCCCTTTCTTCCTTCGGAAAAAAACACACCAACATTATTGGACTCGCTCAATATATTTATTGCACAGCATGCTGAATGTTTAAAGACTTTTATTTTTACAATCCATATACAATTGTGGCACCAGACGAGTTTGGCCCTCTGTCTTTACATAGTCAAACACTGCTGCTGGCATACTGCTCTTTGTGACTGTTCTCCTCTGCTGTTTGCAGTGCTGACAGTCTGACGGACAAATACACTGAATAACAAGATGTTGCAGAAGGATGAGTAAATCTAACAGATAGATGCCTTAGTTGAAACGCACTGCCAGGAAAAATGGAAAGTGACATAAGGGTCTACAATGGACCAGATATGATACAATAATGATAAATAAATATAAAAATGGCACTGGACGTGCTGGGTGTATGGGGGGTGACACTGCTTTAGATTCAAGACATATTTCAAAGCACTTGTTTATCTGTTAGACTCTGAAGTGGCAGTTGAATCCTTAAGAAACCGGTCTTCCCAGACTGCTGCGTACTTGTGTAATTGTTTTCCACCGTGAGAAACAACTGTCTCAATACATTGAGTTCAAAATCATTTGCCTCATGTGCATTGCACCATGCAGTAGTCCATTCAAAAAAAACTAGCTCATTCCTGATGCATAATGCCATCTTGATCCAAGGGTGGTGATGCACAACGTTCAAATGAAGTGAAGAGAGGGGAACAAAGAATTGTAAAAGTAGGGAAAGAATAAAAGAGCGGGACACAACGATGTGTACGGTACATGACGTACACACGCTTATACAGTATGCATGTTATGTAACTAGCTTCATTCAAGTCTTCTCTCTGCACT